AATGATGGCTAAAACCTATAGTCTGCAAGGTGTCTGTGATATAACTCCATGCTAGCCTATTGTAGGCCTTTTCTAAGTCAACTTTGAAAATCATCCATCCTGAGGCCCATTTCTTGTGGTGCATGGAGTTTAGGATTTCCTGAAATACAAGCACATTGTCTATTATTTGTCGACCTGGAACAAAACTGGTCTGGTGAGGACCAACCAAGATTTTGGAAATATTCTTGAGTCGGTTAGTCATGGTTTTAGTGAGCAGCTTGTATGAAATGTTGCATAAACCTATTCGCCGGAACTACTTAATAGATTCCGGATTGGCCACCTTGGGGATAAGGGAAATGAACGTATCGTTGTACCCTTGAGGCAAAATACCATCTGCAAAAAACTTCAAAGCAAACTCAGTTAGTGAATCTCCTACTATATTCCATGAATTCTGAAAAAAAAACATGCACTGAAACCATCTGGGTCGGGAGCCTTAGTAGGGGCATGTCGAACATTGCTTGCTTAATTTCTTCTCTTGTAAAAGGCTTATTAACCTCTTCCCAAGATGCATGAGGCAATGAGGGGAAGCCATCCAACTGAGGGTGCTGTATAGACAGGGAATTTTCCTTTGTAAAAAGTTGAGAGAAGTAACCCATGATATGGGTCCTAATTTGGGACGGATCAGTCAACAGAGAGCCCGCATCATCTCTTAATGACAGAATCCTGTGAGAGCTATTCTTGATAGACGTTGCCATGTGATAGAAGTGGGTATTCCGGTCTCCCGAAACTATCCAATCTTCCCTAGAACGCTGAAACCAAAGTAATTCCTCCTGATAGAGGACTTCCTCGAGCACTTGTCTCAATTTCTTCTCCAGTTTCAACATGTCTGATCTAACTTGTAATGAAAAACTGCTCTGTATACCGCTAAGTCTAGCTAAAATTCTATTTTTGTGAACCTGCACATTCCAAATATATTCCTGTTCCAAAGGGATAGAGTTTCTGCTAACTTGTTTGTATTAGAAATCAAGTCAATGCCTTTATCCCAAGAGCGCTTAACAACATCCTGAAACTTACGGTGAGTAGACCAAGCTAAATTGAATCTAAAAGACTTCATTCACCCTGCCAAAGGCGTTGGGCTGGTGTTGATGAAGAGGGGCGAATGGTCTGACTCCACCATAGGAAAGTGCTCAACCATGACTGCTGCGAACCTTAATTTCCAGGTGATATTGCTCATAGCTCTATCTAACCTTGCACCTTTAAAGGACGAAGAGCTAACACCCCTCGTCCAAGTAAAGCTGGGACCAACGAACCCTAGATCAACAAGGCTCTCTCGAAATATCCAATCATTAAAGTCAGAACACCTCGACTGAGAGAAACCTTCTTGATTGCTAACCTCGTCCTTGCAGGTTACAGAGTTGAAATCCCCAGCAATAAGCCAGCTGGGAGTGTGATCATCAACAAACCGATGCGAAAGTTCTGCAAAAAGATCCCTTCTCAAATGGTGATTAGGACTGCCATAAACTGCAGTGAACAACCAAGGTTCAGAAAGGTTGTCAAACACCTGCATAGAAATAAATTGTGGATGAGTGGTGATGATATTAATCTTAACCATATCTCTCCAAAACACCCACATTCCCCCCGAAAAACTATATGCCTCTACTCTAATCCAGTCATTAAATCATAAACTAACACATATTTTATTCGCATGATCCCCAGAAACTTTGGGTTCGAAAAGGCAAAGAATAGATGGATTATGCATCCGAATAAATTGCTTGAGGGCACGGCGAAATGTCCTTGACGCCGCCCCTTGGCAATTCCTAACCATTATCAACATATCGACAGGAGGAAAAGAAAGTGGGCAGCAAAACGCTCAAGCGCGCAAGCTGTCCTCCCCACCCATGCCATCCAGGCCACCAGACTCACTATCCAATGCCATATGGTCACCAGGAGGTTCGCCATTGGAAAAAGGAACCTCCTTATAAGGAGGTTCGAAGTTTAAGAAGGGTACTTCCTTGTCCGACGGGTTATTTTTGAAAGCATCCCCAAGATCATCCAATGAGGAAGGGCCCGGCTGATCCCTGAAATGGTGAACCACCATTGTTGAAATAGAGCGTCCTTGATTGGTCCCTCGGACCACCGTATGCTCAGATTGTGCTGCTGCGCGGTTAGGACCCCACCCTCTTCCACGACCTCTGAAGCTTCCACGACCAGCAGACTGAATTTGTCTAGGTAAAGCTAGATGTTCTCCAATTGGATCAATACCATCACTTCTTTGTTCTTGCGCTGGTCGTTCAACTCTGTAGTTGGTCCTAATTCTGGGAAGGGTAACATTTTGTTGCAGGACCTCCATATCTTCTCCTTGCATCTCCTGAGCTCTGTCCACCCCATCTTCATTCAATCCATCCAGAGTGCCAAAACGGGAGTGGGTGACAACAGGTTCCGGAGGTGGATGTTTATCCTGCTGAGGACGAAAGCGACTCTCCTTTGGGTTACCAAGTGCAGTCCTAAAGCCTTCCTTATTCTGAAACCTTCTATCTTTACGAGAAACCAACATCCATGAGCCATATTTTTCTTTGGGCTCTTGGGTTTTCACCGCCTGCACCGCTTCAATAGGATTGGCATCACCACCCGAAGGTCCCTGGGCTTCGATGCCATTTTTACCACATTGATCCAGTCGGTGGCCGTAGAGACCACATTTGAAACAAACCGAATGGAACCCTTCATACTCAATTGGCAGTTCTTCCAATTCCAACACAAATTTTGAAAGTAAAGGTTTGGTGATATCTACCTCTACACAGACTCTTGCGAATTTGCCTTTGGAAATTAGACTTGTAGTGGTATCGATTTTGACTGGTCGACCAATTTGTTTACCTATTTTCTTGAGAACTCCTCCTCAAAGTATTCAATGGGGATGGAGGGAAAGCGAACCCAGTCGAGCAGCTTGCTGGTCTTGTTCTTCTTGGGGAAGAAGTTTGGCTCCCATTCTTGGACCACTATGTAGTGCCCCATTATCAACCAAGGTCCTTCGTATTTTGCAACTTCATAATCTTTCAGAGAGTCAAACCTAGCGATGTAGTAATCTTGATCCAACGAAATCAACTCAAAGGGAGACTCTGGTTTCCACATTCTTTGTAACCTCTGTAGCAGGAAGGAGTAGTTAACCGTTCTGCCCAGGACTCTAAGGATGAGAGAGCGGCGCCACGGCCTTCTCAGCCTCTCCTTCTCCTCCTCAGTAACCTGAATCACTGGGTAATCGAACATTGGCCCAGCAATTTCCATATCCTCGTCTTCAGAAGCGACCTCTTTCTCCTGGGGAAAGTCCTCAGATCTTCTTGACCCTGCTTGGTTAGGGGTTGCCGCAGGAGTTGTTCACTGATTGGAATCCGGTGTAGAAGCTCCAGCTACTATAGGCGATTCCTGCATCGTCTCGAGGGACGAGGAAGATAGAAAGGGTTCCAACTGATCTCTACCCCTCTTCGTCTTCTTCGTGCTTCTTTGAAGTAAGTCTTGCTCCTCCGGCGACCGATTAGTCGTCAACGGAGTCGGAATCTTGGAGAGAAGCTCGTCGGTCATCGCAACTGTCTCTCCTATTGATCATAATATTAAGTTAGTAATAATATATAACATTTATATATTTAAAAATTATATTAAAAGTGTTATTAAACACAAAAATTTAAATTTAAATATATTAAAGAAAATAAGTAAAGAAAAAGAGTGTTTAATTTGATCAATAAATAATAAATAGAGCAAGTAAAACAAGATAGAGAGTGTATACAATAATATTGTAAGTTGTGACTTATTATGAAATTGTAAAATTTTTATAATATAATTTTTTAAGGATATCCTTATCCTTGTGATTCTCTTATTTTTAAAAGTAAACCTACTGTACTATAATATTAGTATATTTACAATGAAAAATAAAATGTTATTTTCCCTTCAAACTTTCACATATGACTTCTATTTATTGGTTGTTAATGAAATAGTTGATTCTACCAATAATTAGAAAATGAATTTAGGAATGATTGGAAGAATGAATTTAGGAATGATAATCAAAATTATAGTTATTGTTTAGTTAACAACTTTTTAAAACACAACTATGAGATTTTATTACCCTTTCAATTAAAAATCTCATTCACAAATTAAAAATGGGTATCATGCCATCTTATTAGTAATTTAATTTTTAAGTTTGGATTAGTACTTTTAGATTCTTGTTTTGATTTTTTTTTTTTTTTGTTCATAATTGTGCTTTGGATGTTATTGTATTAGGATCAATTGCCTTGATTTTTTGTTTATGTAATTTAAAACCTTTATTCCCATTATAAGCTCATACATAACCAAACATCAATATTAGTAATCATTCCAATTCTACCCTACTACCAAACATGCAAAATATACTATTACCAAAACTTATTCCATTATATTACCCAATATTTGATTTCCATTCTAATTCCGATTCTCATGTGCGAACCAAACACACCATTAGTTATCTGATGATATATAAAAGAGGTATGTAGCATTGTTCATTTACAATTTACTATTACTTTTTTAACATTATTATAATTTTAAGTCACTCTTAAAATAAAAATTTTGTTAGTGTTATTAACTATATTACAAAATAGTATATATTCTATACTTTTTCTATATGTTGCAGTTTAAAGAGTCAAATTTTAATCCGCTAATTGCAATGACTTTTGTACATATACGTTACCCGGCTATCGTCCAATTTAAAAACATGTCATCATTACCCTTTTTTTATTTTATAGATGCGGTAGTAAAAATCTTCTTCGAAAAGAAAAAAAATTATATATATTTTTTATTCTTTTATTTTAATTTCTTCCCCTATTTTTCGAAGCCCCAGCCCACCCAACCCCTTCACCGGCTCACCCTAGGGATATAGGGAGTATATATTCCATTTAGTGATAATAGCTAGTGTCGGATAGTGTAAGCAAAGCAAGCAAACGGAGTCCATCAAACTATAACCCATATTTGAAGCTCCTTCGTTCTATGGCTGCTCACTCACATCCTTCATAATGAGCCAAGAAAACAAGAAGCCATTACTATCTGCTGCAGGTAACGCTTCGTGCTCTAAACATGAAGAAGAAGAAGAGCATAATAATGTCATCAATGCCCAAATGGTCCCTTTCGTAGCTTCTTCGTCTGCCATGGAGGTAATTGAAACCCACAAGCCATACTGTTGTAATCGATATAATGATGTTAAGTACATGGAGTGCCTGAAGAACCATGCAGCCGCCATGGGTGGCACCGCCACCGACGGCTGCGGCGAGTTTATGCCGGCTGGCGAAGACGGCAGCCTTGAAGCCCTCAAATGCTCCGCCTGTCAATGCCATCGGAATTTCCACCGGAAACTCATCATAAAAGGTCAGCCTAGCTCTTAATTGCCTCCTCCGTTTCATTATATATATATATATATATATATATATATATATATATATATATATATATATATATAATTGTATGACCCTTTAGTTTAAAGCATTTTAACAAGGTTTGATCAATTAGAATTACATTTGGAATTATCGGGCATTAAACAACGATGTTCAAAATTTTGTTCTGTGGGCTTACCCAACAATCGTTATGCCATGAAATCATGTTCACCATGGATGGTGAACACAGTCCCCAACGGTAACGGTGCCTACGGGCACCGTTATCTTCCAGCAATCTTTCTTTCTTTTTTTTTTTTTTTAATTAACAGCACAACTTTTCTTCTTCATATTCACATTATGCGGTTTCACTTCCTCTTCGCACAAGTTTTTTCAACACTCATAAATTATGAATGTGTAGTCATGGATTTATGAATGTGCAGTTATGAAATTATGAATTTTCTTTTATGAGATTATGAATTTTCTGTTATGAAATTATGAATTTTCTGTTATGAGATTATGAATTTTCTATTATAAGATTATGAATGTACAGAAAATTCATAATTACATAACTGTAAATTTATAAGCTCATAACAGAAAATTCATAATTTAATAAATGTTTTTCTTTTATGAGATTATGAATTTTCTGTTATGAAATTATGAATTTTTTGTTATGAGATTATGAATGTACAGAAAATTCATAATTACATAATTGTAAATTCATAATCTCATAACAAAAAATTCATAATTTAATAAATGTAAATTCATAATCTGAACATAAAATGCAAAACGCCGTTAACAGCACATTAACTAAAAAAAAAATCCATAAAAGCGATGCCGTTTGGGACCGTGTTCACCAAGCATGATGAACACGTTTCCACGGCATAATTTGCGCTTACCCAACTGGCCTTTGTGACAGATGGGCTTATAAGAACAATATATGGCATTTTAGTTGGATCATTCACTAAGAATTATAATAAGTTCTATAACAAATAAATATGACATTTTGGCAAGAGAACGACGTTGACCAAGGCATAGCACACTGTTGTTCCCAACGTAGGAAGGCATAATCGTCATCCAGTTAGGCCAAGTCATAGCACACCATCGTTCCCATTGTAGGTAGGCACCATCGTCACCCAGTTAGGCGAAGACATAGCACACCGTCTTTCCGAACATAGGTAGCATCATCACCCATTTAGGCCAAGGGTTAGCACAATGTCATGCCCAACGTAGGCACCGTCGTCGCCCAGTTAGGCCAAGGCATAGCACACTGTCATTCAAAACATAGGGCTTGTCGTCACCCAATTACGTCAAGGCATAGCACACCGTCGTTCCCACCGTAGGCACCGTCGTCACCCTAAATTACTTGGTTTGTTGGTCGGTAAACCTGTAACGAGTGATATTACACATCGTCGTTCCTAACATGTAGGACCTATCGTGCCCAACATAGGCACCAACGTAGGCCTAAGCATAGCACACCATTGTTCTGAATATAGGCCCTACCATTACCCTGTTAGCCCAAGGGTATAATTAACACAATGTCGTGCCCATTGTAGTCACCGTTGTCACCCAATTAGCCCAAGGCATAGCACACCGTCATCAAAAGTACTTGGTCGGTAAACCTCTACTGGGTGATATTGCACATCGTCGTTCCTAACTTAGGGCCTATCATGCCCAACATAGGCCTAAGCATAGCACACCATCGTCCCGAACATAGGCCATGTCGTCACCCGGCTTGGCCAATACATAGCACACTGTCAGAGTTGGTTATGTTATATTTCTTAATTTGTAAAACTAGTTATTAGTAGTAGATTGATTGTGATATATTGTATTTAATTATAAAATTAATTTTATGGGATGGGATGTGCAGGATGCCCATGGGCGAGCTGCAGTTTCACATTTCCTTGTTCACAAAACAAAGGCGCAACGCCGCCGTTGGCGTACAACAATAATAATAATACGTCAAGCGGCGGCGGCGGCGGCGTTTCAGATTGGGAGGCGGAGAAAGAAGATGCGGCGGCGGCGGAGGAGGAGGGTTTAGAGAGGAAAAAGAGATTCAGGACGAAGTTCAGTGGGGAGCAAAAGGAGAAAATGGTGGCGTTTGCAGAGAGAGTAGGGTGGAAGATTCAGAATGCTGAGAGCTCTGTAGTGCACCACTTCTGTCAAGAAATTGGGGTGAAGAGGAGAGTCCTTAAGGTTTGGATGCACAATAACAAAAACAACTTTGCTGCCCAGGCCAGGCCAACAAATTAAACTAACTACCCCCATCCTAGATTCAACCACAATAATATAATTATTATTATTAATTAATTAATTATTATAAACAACACGTACTCATCATATATCTGTAGTAAGGCATGCATTTTGCGTAATTCATTGTTGTATTGCTTGTTCAATTAAAAATTACTTCAATTATTCAAACACACTCAATCCCAACATGTCGCATTATAATAGTTCTGTAGTAAGGCATGCATTTTGCGTAATTCATTGTTGTATTGCTTGTTCAATTAAAAATTACTTCAATTATTCAATATATACACACTCAATCCCAACATCTCGCATTATAATAGTTCATATTTTTACCGCTAGATACAACTCTGTTAATATACTAATTTTACACGCGTATTGTGCAAATGAGTTAATGCTCAATGTTTATAATTAAATAAATATTTGAGAGTATATCAATACAAAATTATTATTTATTAATTTAATAAGAGTAAAATAGAGTACTAATTATGCCAACTTTGATTGGGATGGGGTTCGAACCTAAGACTTTTCTTATTGAAATCAATGAGTAAGTTAATGATGAACTAACAGAATTAACGAAGAAGATAATATTTAACGGAAAAGTTAACTGATAATCATATAATTAAGGATAAATTAGAAAATATCAAGGAAAAATTAAAATCTGATCAATCTGAGTCATCCGTTTGATTAAAATTTGACCGTCATTTTTTCTACCCATTATAGGCGTAACTCTCTTGGGCTCTTATTAGTATAGTAGATAGTAGATATTTTATGTGATTTAGTATAATAATATTATTATATAAGTTCACCTTAAATATTAAGTGGTTAATTAAAATATTATTATTATGTGCCTAACATCTGACATCTAATGGTAGGGTAGTTGTGTGAAGAAAAATTGGCGAGTACATGTTACCCATCACTATCATATTTGGTATTGTATATAGTAACCCTTAGTTCCATCATTCTCTTCCCTTTAATTTTGAGATTTTGATTAAAAAACAAACCAGCTTAATTTTATGTCATTATAGTCCACTGTCTGCAACCATAAACAGGGTGTAGTCCAATTATAGAGATAAATAACAGTAATAAAGATTAGGATGAATGCTTTAATTAGGGGGTGGTATGATTACAATTAACCTAGTCGCTAATTAGCACTTTCGATCATGAGTCATGACCATTGTTGTCGCATCATTAAAATAATTATTCCCTCAATGACTTTTTCTTGCTTTGCTTCTCACTTTATTATATATATATATATATATATATATATATATATATATATATATATATATATATGGGTTCCTGTGCAGTTGAAGGTGTCAGGTGCAATTGTGCGATGAAAGGAGAACCACTGATTTTGCTTAAATCAACGTTTAGATTACCAAAATTAAATAATAATAAAAAGTGTGGTGGGATTTTGGTAATTTTTTACATTTAGGTCAAATGTAAGGTGCATGAGATAAGGTGCGTGAGTTTGTGCTTAAGTGCATAAGATTTGTGTTTAAGGTGCGTGAGTTGTGTACTTAATGGTAGTAGTTGTTGAAACTTAAGGTGCATGAGTTTTGTACTTTAAGGTGTGTGGGTTTTGTGCTTAAGGTGCGTGAGTTTTGTGTGCGTGGGTTTGTGCTTAATGTGAGTAGTTGCTGAAACTTAAGTGCGTGAGTTTCCTTCTTAATGTGCATTGTTTTCATCTTAAGGTGCGTGATTTGTATGCTTAAGGAGTGTCAGTTATGTGAAACTAAAAGTGAATCATTTTTAAAACCTTAGGTGCATGATTTGTGTTCTTAAGGTGCTTTGTTATGTGCTTAAGGTGCGTGGTTGGTGTTCTTAAGGTTAGGCCTGAGCATTGGACGGTTCGGTTCGATTCGGATACTCGGAGGGCCAAACCGCACGAATTTCGGATTATTATTTTTAAACTCAATTTCATTGTATTAATTTGTAATATCATTTCGGTTTTATAGAATTTTGGATGAGGACGGGTCGGTCGGATATCCGAACTCAACTTTGATATTTAAAATATAAAAACAAAATTAAATAATTGACTAAAACGCTTAAAAATTAAGTAAAACTGAAAAAATTTATAAAAACAAGTAGTGCACTGTGCACAAACTACATGTAAATTTTGTAACTGTATAAGTGTAAAACTACTAAACTAGACAACTAGTACTTAGTCTTAAAAAAGTCAAATGGGCAAGGGCAATTATGAATTAGCTTATACAAAATGTAAAACTGTAAAAGTAGCCAATTTTTAAAAAACACTGCAGCAAGCACCATTGCACCAATGTACATTAATACAAAAAATTTAGAATTTGGCATTCTTCATCCAACATGCCAACTGATCCATCAATCCATCATCCTAGAGTCCTAGTTCCTAGTTCAGTAGTTCCTGCTTTAGCTACAGCCTATTGTTCTTTAAGGAAAGAAAATAATATAATAGGGAGTAAATAAGGAAAATAATAAAAAAAAAATACTAAAATCAAAATAATATGAATCATTCATTTCAACAAACAATTACATCACCCTTTTTAGTTCATGTTAAGGGCCTAACTTTTAACTATTATTAAATTTGTATAGATTTGTAGATAGATATAATAAAATTTGAACACATGGCCAAAGTTATACTCCATCAGAATACATATATCATTTTCCTTTCTTAAATTGTATTTATATACATTCTTCCAAAAGATAGAAACCTCAACCCTAATTGTATTTATATACATGATTTGAGGTGGATGTGCGAAAAATCATGCAATTTAGTGGTATTAACTTATGGTTTTACGAACATTGTATTCTTGTATAATATAACTAGTTTTTTTTTTTTTTTACGCGCTTTGTGCGAATGGGATAATGCCCAATAATTATTTTTAAATAAGTACTTCAAAGTATAAATGTAATATTATATAGGAGATGTTCTTGCATAGGTAATTGAATGTTGAATTAGTTTAAAGTATATAAATGCAAGATAATATATGAAAGAATGATTATAATTGTCACTAAAATAAATGTTTGCAACTTTATAATAACGCTAGTCTAAATACTTAGTATAAAGCGATAGTTCAAATAAATACTACTTTTGACTTAAATTTCTCTAAGTCTTCTTAATTCTCTTTTGGGTAGCATTATCATTGTCTTCATCTTCAGTACATGTCATGTACTCTCTCTTTTTATTGATAGTATGTCATGTGCAGTTGGGTTACTGGTACTAGCATAGAGGGCATCATCATGCAATGAGATTATGGTGTTAAGTATTTTAGATTTTCCTTGTTGTGTATATGACTAAGATCTTAGTTGTATTATGAACTCTTTATCATACAAGTGCATATTGATATTTGGTAGTGGTAGTTTTTCCTACATGTTTCTTGTGTTGTGAGAGGTGTCATAGATTATCATGTGAAAGTATTGAACAAAATATTAATATTTATTATATTTCTATAAGAAAAACTTAATAAATAAATATATAGCATATTTTGTATTACAACTTTGATATTTAATTACAAGATAATGTAAAAATAAGACAATGGACAATGTAGTGAATATAATTAATTAATGAATTTGAATTGAAGGTAAGGAATCTTTGAATTGTAGAAAATAAATTTTTTTTTGAAGGTTGTAGAAAATAAATATAATATAACTAATGAAATTATATCTCTTTTTAAAAAATTTTATAATGAATAATTTTTTTTTTGGGAAAAGGGTCAAATAGGCCTTCGAACTTTAGCTTAAAAGTCAATTAGGCTCCTAAACTTTTTAAAGGTGCAATTACACCCCTCAACAATTCATTTAAGTGCAATGAAGCCCAAAAACAAATTAATGACCTGCTATCACAGGTCATTAGGGTTCAGACCACCTTCCGGCGAAATTTCCGACAAAAAAAAAAAAAAAAAAGTGATCGGCGAAATTTCCGACAAAAAAGTGACCGGCGAAATTTTCGGCAAATCTGGGTCAGTTGCTGGTCACTTTTTTTTTTTTTTTTTGCGGAAAAATTCGCCGGAAGGTGGCCTGAAACCTAATGACCTGTGATAGCAAGTCATTAACTTGTTTTTGGGCTTCATTGCACCTAAATGAATTGTTGATGGGTGTAATTGCACCTTTAAAAAGTTTAGGGGCCTAATTGACTTTTAAGATAAAGTTCGATGACCTATTTGACCCTTTCCCCTTTCTTTTTTTTTGAATAATGACATTATAGACATCTAATTCTAAATTAATTAAATGCATATGTATTATTTTTTGTTGTAGCTACCAAATTATTTAATTTAATAAGAGTAATAAAGTGCGTACATACTTTTCATCAATAAATTAAAGTCATTGATTTTTTAAATTTACATTCGTTATTGAGACAAATATAATTATTGAGTTAATACCCAAAATCGTCCTCGACTATAGTGGTTTTTCTCAATTTCGTCCTAAACAACTTTGGTGACCTAATATCGTCCCACACTTTTGTGTTTTGCTCAATTTAGTCCCAGACTTTTGTGTTTCTGCTCAATTTAGTCCATCATTTGTTATTCTGTCCATTTGGTATTAAATAAATAGACAATTCAATAATTTTAATATTGGCATATCTTTACTCATAGACATGTGAACTGCGAAATCTCTTTTTTTTTTTTTATGAATTACTTCTAGAATTACTCCTAAAACTGCGAATATAAAATTTGATTTGCAGGTCCGGGTGTAATTCGTACAAGAAAGAGGAATTTCGCACTTCATAAGTTGAAAGTAAAAAGAGATCAATATTGACATTACTGAATTGTCCCTTTATTTAACACCAATTTGACGGAATAACAAATGGAGGACTAAATTGAGCGAAACACAAAAGTCTGGGACAATATTAGGTCACCAAAGTCGTTTAGGACGAAATTGAGAAAAATCACTATAGTCGAGGACGATTTTGGGTATTAACTCTATAATTATTGTTTTGGGAGTTTGTCAATGAAAATTGATACAATTGCTGTCAATAGATGATGGTAATAAATAATTCAAAATAAAATATTACAATAGATATTGTTATAATGATATAATAAAAAATTAACTTACAAATTTTTTAGAAGCTTTCATACATTGATAAAATTCTAAGAATGATGTGTAAACTTGTTCAATTTGAGCCAGCGGGATGTAACATAGTCAATTCTTTGAAAAATTGTCTTATCGTTTTAGAGTCTAGGTGTAATTGTATTTCTAATCAACAACTTTGTAATTAGGTCGCGCAGGTCTGACAATGATGCAAGAACAATTTTGTCCGATAAAAAAAATAATAGTATAATATTAGTAAAGTAATGTACAATTGTACTGTTATAAAAAGACATACAAAAAAAAAATATTAATACCATAATGACCTAAATCATTCCAATAATGCAAAAAGCATAATTGAAATATTGAGTTTTGTTCTAAATAATCAAACGAAGATTAATTTACCTAAATTTGTTTTTTTTTTTAAATGCAAGAAAATGATTTTCAAAGTTCATGATTTATAATCTTTGATGCTCAGCTTTGAATGTTTTGTGTTTAGTCGGGCTAATTATTTGACCAAAGTTTATGTTAAATTTTATATTGTATTTATTTTTTAATACTCCGTATATTTTAATATATTTGTAGTATATATTTAACAATTATGCCAACTCTACCAAGTGGCTTGTAGTCCATTGGTATCGGATTACTCCCCTAAGTGGGAGGTGTAAAGTTTGAACCTCAATTGAGGCAATAGTGTGTATATATAGGGTATCCCCCTTCCTTATAATAAAAAACAATTATGCCAACTCTAATTAGGATCAGGCTCGAACCTAAGACCTTTCTTATAGAAACTAATGAGTAAGTTAAGAATAATAAATAGTTAACGAAATATTTCGTTACTAAAGTTTATACTAACGGAATCCAGGGTTATTTAAGGGAAGAAAATAATATAATAGAGGGTAAATAAGGAAAATCATAAAAAAAATACTAAAATTAAAATAATATGAACCATTCAATTCAAGAAACAATTATACCAACATTTTTTTGTTCCAGTTAAGGGCCTAACATTATTGGCTCTTATTAGATTTGTAGATAGATAGATTTAAAGTTTGTTAAATTGAAGTTATTTATAATTCATCACTTTGTCCACTACAAAAGCGAACAATCGTTATATCATGGACTAGGATCCACAGTGCACAGTGGATCTTGGTCCAATATGACGTCGTTTTGTTAAGTGGGTTGGGAAGTTGACGCGACGGACAACGTTTCGTCCGTCCAATCCCGTTATAGTTTTTTTAATTAAATATAAAAATAAAATCGTCTTCTTTCACACGACATTCCTTCCATTTCAAAATTCAAAGGAGAAAAAACACTACAAAACACTCTCGCGAAAGATCAAACACTGCAGAAACACTCAACGACTTCCTTATCGAAGACTTACTTAATACGTTCAGAGCATTCAAACAACAGAAAAGGCGAATCTTCAAACATTTATTTGTTTAAAGTTCAAAACATTTTAAAATTTGAAAAATAATTCATAATTTATGTACATATGTCATGAAATTGAACATTAATGTGATAATTTATCCACATTGACATGAAATTCAACATTAATAACCATTTTCAGTTAACTAGAGTTACATAATTTCCGCTCTTTGTAAATCTTAGACACTATGTAACCTAACATATAAAGCATATATTGCAGATGATATTTTAAAATAAGTACATACAAAGCATGTGTATTACATTATGAATTTATGTGTCTTCATATATATAATTCTGTGCATTATGAATATGAACTCTGCACCTAAATACACACAGAAATGACATTTCTTAGACTTGTGTTTATATGTATTATGTTAAGAGTTTATGTGTCTTCAACTATATAATTTTGTACATTATGAATTTCAATCTCATACCTCAGTAGATAGAGATGATATTGCTTAGACTTATGTTTATGTGTATTATGTTAAGAGTTTGTGTCTTCAGCTATATAATTCTGTATATTATGAATTTCAATTCTGTACCTAAGTAGACAGAAATAATATTGTTTATATTTATGTTTCTGTGCATTATGTTAATAGTTTATGTGTTTTCATCTATATAACTCTGTACATTATGAATTTAAATTTTGTACATTATGAGTTTCAATTTTGTACCTGAGTGGACAGAAATGATATTGTTTATATTTATGTTTATGTGTATTATGTTAATAAGTTATGTGCTTTAACTATATAGTTTTGTACATTATGAATTTTAATTATGTACCTGAGTAGATAGAAATGATATTGTATATGTTTATATTTATGTGTATTATATTAAGCGTAGAAGCGTAGAAGAGAGAAGAAGAAGCTGCACTCTATTTATATATTGATTTTTTCTTTCGGATGAAAATGAAGAAGCTGAATCGTTTTCAGTTTATATAGATAGCCGAATAGGGTTAGGGTTTGTTTTCGGCAATTTATATCCTACACCACGGCGTACATTGCACTATGCGCCCAGATGCAAAACGACGTTTTAATTTTATTTTTTTTTGAAATTTCCCGCCCCAGTGAATGGCAGTAGGCTTTTCTTTAAAAAAAAAAAAAAAAAAACCGCTGTTCAAGAATGTACATAATGTTATACTTGAATACACATAATGTTATACATGAATACACATAATGTTATAACAAAATATACATACTCTTTTTAAAAGATAATACACATAATCTAACATAATACATAATAAACATAAATTTTTAACATAATACACATCAACTCTTAACATAATACACACAAATTTTCTGATTCGGATGTACATAATTGTATAAAAACAATGTACATAATTGTATAAAAAATACACATAACTGTATGAACCAATACACATAACGTTGTGAACGAATACACATAACGTTGTGAACGAATACACATAATCTCAGCAACTTCCTACCGCGCCTCCCAACACGACCCCAAAACGACGTCGTTTTGGGAGGCGCGCGGCGCACAGTGCTATGTGCGCCGTGGTGTAGGATATAACGATTGTTTGTTTTCGGGTTAGGCTTGGGTAGTCAAATGGGCTTGAAGAAATAATTAGGCAAAAATAAATTTTGGGTTGGATTGAATGGTAATATGTTAGTTGGTCTAAAAATGTTTAAACGTTGTTGTAATGGATTATTTTTTAATTTTGTATTTATTTATATATAAAACTAGTTTATTTGTTTTTTTATATTATTTACATATTTTTTTTAATAAATATTTAGTGTTTAAAATTCATTTTTAAATATGGAAGAGTTTGATTATAGTTGTATCCTTGCATCAAGTGGAATACTACACACATACTAGTTCTTTTTATTGGGTTCAAACACTTATCCTAAGACCTCTAGAGTGTTACCTAAACCCCATTTGTAAAGATGTTTTACAAATTGATGTAGATAAATGCAGCAAATTATTAAAAAAAAAAAAAAAAAAAAATTATAGCAAGAGAGCTGAGATATTATAATGACTTGACACACCATGCACTAACATATGATGCCCAGGAGCAGATTTTAATAAAATCTGCAAAATTCAGTTCTCGGGGATGAGACAGTTAGATCTTTCTTCCTACAGTCTAGTTAATGTTATAAATTAGTTTGGCAAGCCAGTTTAGGTACCAGATAGAGATATACAAGATGACATTACATTCAATAAGTTACATCGACTAGGGAAAAACAAAAACAGAAAAAGAAAAGAAGGAAATGTGCTGCTGATGATGATGATACCATTTTACCATCTAGTGAACATGTACAAAAACCCAGCAGCACACTTCAAAAAGCGCTTGTCATGCTCTTCCCTAGTCCCTTGCCAACACAATAGGCAGCAGATCCCACAAACTCATCCTTCATCTGTCCAATAGTCTTAGCTTGCCCAATAACACAACTGCACCTGAGGCAAACAAACCGAGCAGGAACACTATCTAAGTCGGGAATTCCAGCACACCTGGTGTGCTGCCATATGCCACAGGAATCACATGCCAGCATTCTCTCACCGTCATCATCCTTGGCCCCGCAATGGCAATCCACAGTCCAACTCTCGAGACCTCTTTCCATTCTAAACCTACTCAGAGCATTCTTACCCAGGCTTCTTCCCCGAACCCTCACAAATTCAGCTGATCCTAACAATAATTTTAAGCCAGTAGAGTCACCGACACCGGCATACCCAACTAACTCCTCCACTTGGAATCTCCTGAACATTAGGTATACATCTTGGAAAGCTCTTGATGCTTCAACCTTCAGGTCAGATATGGTGGCATTTGAAGATAAAACAAGTAGCTCTGGGGGAGGATTCACAGAACACCTTTCAGAATAATCCGTTAGATCCAGCTCACATAACAGCTGAATGGCACGAGGGTTTAAGGCTGGTACAAATTTCTCGGGTTGATATTCTTTCATGAATTTCTTGCAATCAATAAGTGTTGTAGCTGACTGGATTATAACATCCTTTTTGCAGACATGTAAATGGTTCGCCATAGTTTGAGGGTGGAGCATGCACTCATACAAGTACTTCAGATCCCGCAATAGATGTTCATCAGAAGGTAAATTCGGTCTCATATAGTTGTTATCCCCAGCCGTATTAACATTGACTGTGGCACTCCCAGGCTCAAGTCTACATTGAACACACATTACCCTAATTAAATCAAAGAACAGATGGAATTTCCAACTTTTGGCATAAAACATTGATTAAAGACTATGAGATGAAGGAAAAATTTTGAGGTAGAAATTCGAATCTATAGAATCCAATGGAATATATTAATGATAATAATAATTAAATGGGATCTCAACCTGTACTCCATGGCACCAGAACCAGAAGCACAACGGGAGTTGACAACCATTCCATCAGCAGCCTGTTTTCCAGTTAGTTCTTTTAGGCAGTAGTCAAGAAGTTCAGGGGACCCAGCTTTGCATACAGCACCTCTCAGAGCACGCCAGCTAACCCATTTGGATCCAGAAACAGCTCTAAGCACTCTGAACATAGCTTCTTCAACACGTAGAACATCACTACTACTCCATGCACATAAGGCCTTGGTGTCACAATATTTACGCTTCTTGCAAGTCAAATCATCAACCCTCAAGCTAGATTTGTGGGTATCATGGATTAAACTAATTAAAAAACTGAAGAGGTCCCTAATATTTACAAGTTCACGTTCCGACAAGGACTGATAAAAGGAAATCAAATCCTGCATGCGTGTTCGAGGTTTCCGGCCTTGAGATAAAAGAATAGTTAAGGGCAGAGAAGAAAGGTTCTGAACAGCTCTTTTATAGGCATCATGAGTCAGACCAAAACTACCAGTCCCAAATTCATAACCCCATTCGCCATACCATGGGTGCCCTTTCGTTATGGCATGAATCAGTCTAAACTCCAGCCCATATTTCTTGGACACATCCATCACACTTACTTTTCTGATCCCACAGAGAATTTAAAAAAGACATCATCAGAACAAAAACAGGGCAAAGAACAAGGACACTTTCAGTATATGTAGAGGAAATAAACACCAAATATCAACGAATACAGAGTTCCATATTCTAACCTTACTCCAAGAACTTTGCAAAGCCGATCCCAGAAGTTCATGATATGACAACCAGAAAGCACCCTTGAGCCACCTTCCCTGCCATTGACCCTGAGAAGATGCCCGTAACCATTGGCATGAATCACACCGTGAAGAAGATGGCTTGTATCCTCCAATTGGTGATACATCCAATCTTCCACATCTTCCGTGGTTACCATATGGTTGCACGACTTGCATCTAAAAGAAAGAAACACAATCAACACCTGAACATTAACAACGATCGCTGAAACTCTTCCAATAGGAGAAAAAGAAAACCCGGAAGGGGTAATACATACCTTGATTCCGACAAATGAAGTGGATCACCACAGCCAGCACAAGACTTGTTATACCCACCAATGGAATTCCCGTCCGCCTTAATTATGAAATGGTACCGCTTGGCACACACCGGATTATTGCTCCAACCTACAACAGCCAAAGCATAAATGTCAAAATCTCAATTCTTGATGATCGTAAATTATTTATGATCAATAGCAGTAACTGTACAATCGACCTCATATTATCAAGGGCAATAGATTATTTTTTTAAAGAAAAATAGATAAACAACAAAATTAAAGAAGAAAAATAAAACCGCAAGCGAATTTACGAAGGGCATACAAGTCATTCCCATTTTCAAAAAAAATAAGTTGAGAAACCAGAAAGTCAAATGTGCAAATAATAATAATAATCAAATAAAAATAAGAAGAACTATTAAACACTCCAACTGTTGGCTTCTAGTATTCATTATCAAGTGATATGACACGTCACAGAAAAGGATCCCAACCACTATCCCCACCTGCCAAATGTCAATTAAGTCCAACAGTGTTGGACCCCTCAGTGGAGCCACCTAGGCCTAATATAGTAATATTTAAATAATAATAATAATTGTATTAAAATTAATTTTTATTTTCCGTTTTTTATTTTTTAAGTCTCGTTTCAATGCGGTCTTTGAGGAGGTCCACCACACAGTGCTTTTCCAGAGTTATGCAGTGCAATAAAACATGTCACGCTTTACGAGAAAGTTAGAGTGCAGGGAGCGGGATCCATCTATATCTATGTATATAATCAACGGCTGAGATCCAACGTGTCCACAAAACGAAATAAAATAATTAGAAAACAGTAATTTAGCGAGGAGAATCATTTGTCATTTTCAAGTACGGATAATTAATTATTTTCTTCCACTCCCCCACGAAAAGCAAAAATTATCCAATCTGAGGAAAAAACGACACGTAATTAGCAGCTAAACCAATAAAAGCCAAAAAACGACGGCGTATCTGAGGCAGGAAGAAATTTAGAAAAAATCATAAAATAAAATAAAATAAAATAATGAGCTGTACGCTTTGACTCATGGAACTGAGTCGGTTTCGAAAACTCACCAACGACTCGGCAGTGGTCGCAATAAACGGATCTAGATCTCGCAACGTCCTCTTCCACGATGTCTAGGTAGACGACGGCGGGAGAGGAGTCGCCACCGCTCTCGGTGAGGTCTCCCACACGGAAGAGGATCTGCCACGTCAGCAGATGGGGGAAAAGCGACGACGGAGGCGGCAAGAGCGCGTGCATGGACAGGAAGGCCCTCACGTTCGTCCTAAAGGGCCCCGCGCCCGAGCCGGCGTGAGAAGAAACACCGTCGGACGGCGAAGGGAACGTAAGGAAGTCGTACAGGTCAGCCGTGACTCTCCTCTTCATCCGCTTCATCGGCCTACCGCTAACCACCATTCCTGTTCTCGGATCCCTGCGCGTGGCCCCCAGATCTCGGCGCGTGACGTCTGAAACCCAATACTTAGACTCAGATCTGTACAATACTCCGATCGGACGGCAGATACTCAACAAAACGAAACCTCTAGAACGAAGAAAAGGAAGATGAGAGAGAAAAAACAACGGGAAGAGATAGAAAGAGAGAAACTAAAGCCGTCTCCTATTAACGCTCAAAGAGAGAAGGGGAGGGAGAGAGAGAAAGGAGGGAAATAGGAACGTTTGTTTCGGAGTGAGAAATTAGGTCTGGTGACGCTACGAATTTCGGGGCTTTTGTGTACTTTTATATATTTTTTCCCCTTTTTCCTAACTCATTTCCTATTCGGATTTATTTCCTAAAATAAAATAAAATTTTAAGTCGGTCGAAAAATAAGACCGCCAAAGCTTAAGCGTTAAGGGAGCTTTTGTTGGGAAGAATTAGAAATATTTAATTAATGGACTGATTTACAAAAATGCCCCGAGTAAAGAATTGGAGGGACTTTCGAGGAAGTTTCTAGGTTTTGAATTTATGAAAGTTATAAAAGATAGACAGGCTGGATAGAGCTCGTAATTAAATACAATTGTGATGGCAAATATTGCAACCGTATAGCTGTGTCAAATTACTGATCTAGCCTTGTTTCTCGGATTTGAATGTGCGTTAATGCCTTGAATCAAAGCGCGAGATGCTGAGAATTGAGAATGACACATGACACCATAAGCGGGTAAATTTAACTACATTATTACATTATTAGTACACTATTTATTGCTTAATTACACAGACACCCCTGGACTTTTGTCTATGGCACTAACAATTTGGCAAGAAACCCCTAAACATTCAAGGGGTGTTTGATTGGGAAGAAGGAATTAAGAAGGAAATGAATTGCAAGTCGGTGGGAAAAGAATAAGGTAGGAATAATGTAGGAATTCAAATTACATTGTTTGGTAGGGAATTGGGGATGAGAAGGAAAAAGTGATATAAAGACTAAAATGTCATTGTATAATAATAATAATAATAATAATAATAATAATAATAATAATAATAATAATAATAATAATAATAATCAACAAAGGCTACTTTTGTCATTTCTTCCATATTTTCCTTCCCCACATGCATTGAATTGCAATTCATGGGGGTATGCAATTCAACAAAAGGAGGGAGCACGACTTTGTATGAGAAAACCAGCTTTCAACTCCCAAAGATGGGGATGAAAGTGTAGCTAAGCGTCTCTCTCTTAATCTCATCCTGTTGATGAGTTTTCCCTCTTGTCCTTGTTGACAAGCCTCCCTTTGATCCTTGTTTGACCTTCTTCTTTTACTGTTTCTATCTGAGGTTGGTGAGTTTCTTTTATTCCAGTTTGCTGTTCATCGTCTGTTTCAGTTATTGCTCCTGTGTGTCTGAGCTTGCTCGTTTTCAATGAGGATAGGTTGTATCTGTCTGAGGTTGGTGAGCTTCTCATTATTCCAGAGTTATTTTTACACCGTTTGCTTCAGTTATTGCATCTGTGCCTGAGATTGTCGAGCTTTTCAAAAAGGATAGGTTGTTCCATGTCTGTCTTTTCGCATTTATGATTGAGTATCCGAGGTTGTTGAAGGCTTTCAATGTCACCATACCAAAGCCCCATCTAAATCAATTCGATTATTATGGTTTCTTTCACCAACCCCAGTATGTAATGTCTTTATATACGTCCTGCCCCCTTCCTCTACCCTATCTTCTGTTCTAAATAACCCACAAGTTGAACCTTTCCCTTCCTCTTCTATACCCCCGAGTAACATGGCGTCAAGCAGCAACGGCACTATGGATATGGAGATGGAGTATGCAGCCCTATTCCTGAATGATCCTGAAGAGACAGAATTCCCCCTCGACGAAGAAAACAACAAAGGCTTCGAGGTGGAAACTCCCTTTGTCCTTGTTGGAAAGCTTCTAACAGACAAACCTATCAAGTTCAACTTCCTAGGGGACACCATGGCATCTATTTAGAGGCCAGGAAAAGGTATGGTAGCAAGAGAGGTTATTGATAACCTCTTCATGTTCTACTTCCTCCATGAAGTAGACATGAACCGCGTCATTAAAGATGGACCTTGGTCCATTGAACAAAGCCTTCTTCTCATGGAAAGAGCTTATCCCCTGTGCCCCCCGGAAGCTGTGAATCTAAGCCATGCAAAATTCTGGGTCCAGGCATTCAACCTCCCGGCGAGTTTCCAAAGTAAAAAGACTGCAGAGGCCATCGGAGCATATCTGGGAGAGTTCGTCAGAGTTGATGAGGCCAACATGAATGGGCTTTGGAAATAGTTCATGAGAGTGAGTGTAACACCCCAGATTTTCAAGATATTTAAAACTTATAAAATAAAGGTGAAATCTCATTAAATCCCAAAACATAATACAAGAGTACGGGGTGCTATGCCACACCTAAGCTAGAGAACTCAGGTGCACAGGCTAACTAACTAATATCCTCAATAATGTAACGCATAAACATGGCACGCAGGCCGAAAGGGAAGCTATCTACTTCTACGTTCCAAGTTCTAGCGCGCTCCAGTGACCTACTCTTCTGTGCCTGAAAGCCAAATATATTTGTTCAGCGAGAGATGCTGGTAACCCACTCCAACGCGTTGAAATACAATACATATATATATATATATATATATATATATATATATATATATATATATATATGAAAAGTCATTTTGAACATGAAGATATCTCCTACGAACTCTAGCTTTTGAAACAGGGATAGACTCAACAGATAGGGCTAAGCACCGACAGCAGTTATACCAAGCATATACAGTTTACAATAGGCAAGACAGATAAGATAAGCATAATTAATAATCATAACCCAACATATACGATCTCCGCTATAAATCCCATAGTCTCATCCCCAAGATACTCATAACAATAACTCATCCATGCTTCATCACATAGCACACTTTGTTGGCACCACAGGACCAATCGCATGCCCATACATGAGGGTCAGCGCATATAGCTCTGACACGGCCCCGCAGCACCCTGCCCCGTCTCACAGCACGGAGGGGTCGATCGCAACCGACCGATGAGCCGCAGCTCTATATAATATTTATATACCTGACCGGTCTTTACCAGCCTGGTTAACAGTTGGGATGGTTCTCAACCCATTCAACTGCCCGTATAGTGGACCTTTGTCCTATATAATATTTATATACCTGACCGGTCTCTACCAGCCTGGTTAACAGTTGGGATGGTTCTCAACCCATTCAACTGCCCGTATAGTGGATCTTAGTCCTATATAATATTTATATACCTGACTGGTCTCTACCAGCCTGGTTAACAGCCGGTATGGTTCTCAGCCCACCCGACTGCCCGTATAGCCCGATTGATCTCAACCAAGTCGGGGTAACATGCACACATAACATATAGCAAGCACATGCAACCCACATTAACACATTGGGAAGGGGGAGAAAACGTATAACAAAACCTATGCGTGATCCTTCACATACTAATAATAGTCCTAAGGGGTTCATACTTCTTTCACCTAGGTCAACGGGATACCAATTCAACTAGCATGCAATATATAAGACTCATACGACCTACGAACGGTACCCGAAAATCAAACTAGACATAGGCACGATAGACGGAGTCCGTTGGGACACCACGGGGATCGGGGGAACATCAAACGGGGAAGCCGGGATCCCGATGTGGGGTACAAACCAGCGGGTAGCCAGTGGGTGGGGGTCACCCGCCGGCTGCCCGCCGGCGTTCTACAAATCCGGGCAGCGGGTGCCCGGCGGGCAGCTGCCCGCTGCCGGCGTTGCCCGATTTGGCCGCGGGTAGGTGGCGGGTCCCCTACCCCCACCAACCCCCCACTGACTCTTTTTCATCAAAAACGCCCCGGGAACCTTTGTGGAACCCGAAACCATGCTTAGACACTTTCAAACGCAATTGATAACACACGTAGACAATTAACGGATCAAAATCAAGAAACAAATGGCACATAACCTATCATGCTTTTCTAAACATAATAAACACCCAATCATGCGAAGTCCCACCCAATATACCAAGAATAATACTATACGAATTCCACGATATAACCTAGGGTTCTAATTATTTTTAAATCAACAAGTACACAATTCATCTTCCAAAATCAAGATTCGGTAGGAATATCATATAACGATCAAGAATATCATATAATCATTAAGAACATCAAGAACACCATATAATTATCAAGGACGTCATATAATCATCAAGAACACCATAATTATCAAGAACCTTTCATCATCAAGATCACCCATGGAAATCATCCCATCAATCATCAATACACAATAATATGGGGAAATCCTAAGAGGGGAATCATAACTATGAAAATAGGTTTTGTTGAGACATGGGTTACCTCTTAGCCTTAATTAATTCCTTGGCTATGAAGGGTCTTTCTTTAAGTTTTCTTGCTTTCTTGATTTCTTCTAAGGGAATTCTTGGAGCTCTTTGGGGTGGTGGAACGTTTATTGTGGTGGGGACGTTCTAGGTGCCTCTTAAGTCCCCTATTTATATATTTAGGAGTCCTAGTTAGGAACTAATATTATAGGCTTGCTAATTCTATTTCTTTTGGGACTAAGGATTGGGTTTAGGGATAAGGGCCCGTGGACTATGGTGGGCCTTTCCTAATTAATTATTGTGATTTAATTCTTTCTTTTGGGTAATTGATTAAATGATTTAATTGATTTTAGGGATCGTAACACGGGGTGTTACAGTGAGGGTTCGTATTGACACCTCCTTACCCCTCAAAAGAAAGTTGAAAGTCAGGCCTAGCAATGGGAAACCTTTTTATATTGAATTCAAGTATGAAAGGCTTCCGACCTTTTGTTTCCTTTGCGGCTTAATTGGACACAGCGAGAGGTTTTGCAATATGCAATTCGAAGGTATTACGAAGGACATGGCCAGACCATTCAGCGCCGACCTCAGAGCCGCCGCCGGGCGAGCACAACCAAACCGTGGTCAACGATGGTTGCTGCAGGATCTCCCACGACGGTCGACAAATGTGGAAACTCCTGAAACACCTTTCACGCACGACAATCAACATAAGGGACAGAATGAAGGTGCAGGCATTAACCCTACAGAGGGAGGGCATTATCCAGTGGATAAGGTTCAAACGGAAAACATGCAAGAGATAGACGCATTGAATGCAAAACTGAATGTGCCGGTAAATCATTTAATGCTCACTTGTATTGGGTCTGACCCGGACCACCCTCATTCTCATTATGAATCGTCAACCTCAGACCAGAGGAAAAGAAAGTTGGGCCGAACCCAAGAGGAGCCCACTTCTGAAGGGCAATTG